AGCTCAAAAATCAAGGACTTTTCAAGGACCAAGCTCAAAAATCAAGGACTTTTCAAGGACCAAGCTCAAAAATCAAGGACTTTTCAAGGACCAAGCTCAAAAATCAAGGACTTTTCAAGGACCAAGCTCAAAAATCAAGGACTTTTCAAGACTGTAGAAACCCTGGTAAAACATAATCTTTTTGATGATTTTATGGAAATCACAAATATCTCGTCTTTATTTTTATTTATTTATTTTTCATTTTTTGCTAAAATCTAAAATTCTGTATGTAATATATAAAATATGAGCGTGAGACCTTTATGGGCATTTAAAACTACGAGTTGCAAGCGAGCAGTTTTATGGCCCATAAAGATCGAACACAAATATTTTATATTGCTTATCAAATTCCAACATAAGCTAAAGGATATTTTGCTTAAAACTTGAAGATACATGTAAGATAAKATAAAATCGAAGTTAAATTATATGCAAATTAGGTCAAATCTCTTGCTATAATTTCCCATTGTGTTTACAGATTTTGTTTATGAATTATTAATGAATTTGATAACATACCTTGAAATATGCTGGCTTTTCGAGTAGTTAGCAAATGATTGCCTTCCACACAATATGACAGGGTTACCAGCCTAAAAAAAAAACAATACAGAAATCAATGTTGTTTGGAGTTCCTGTTTGATTTATTCATTGATCTGGTACATTTATAGCTAGCCATTTCTTCACAGCAGACTTGGATAATTGCTATAAAAGCAAAAGACCACCGTGGCCATGGGTGGCAATAGCACCTAAAGATACTTATATGGTCTATTCGCTGTCTGGACTTCAGAAGACATCAATCCAGATATTCTTCTGGYCATTGCCAAGAACGTCAACAAAGCCCTTGGTTTGACTTTGCCTTCTTTTGATCACATAAACAAGACAATCAATAAATTATCCCAGTGGACCGTCTAATAGATCATTGAAACTGATTTTAATGGTTGTAATTCAAAGACAGGAATATCAAGATCTATACTCAAGAACACCATCTCTTTTAAAAAAACATAATATACTCTATGCAGTAAACCACTAAGTCGTCTAGGTTAATCAGTTAATCAGAAACTTTGACATCTAAATCACACAATTAGCCAAACAATAATTGCCGTTTAATGTAAGTAAATATATAGTTCAATAAACACTTCAAAGTCAAACTGTCAGCCAGACACTTTGCGGTCTAAACCTGTAAACTGAGTGAAGTTTTTAGTGTGTGGGTTTCGCTTACCGCTGTCTCTTGTACTAAATTAGTAGCACATCTGATATCCTACATGACATAAAAACACATCAATAACATATTGGTATTAAAACTATCCTTAGTAGAGTACAAACACTAAAACTGTGCAACATAAATACCACTAAATACTGMTAAATTATGCTAATTCTATTGTTTAATTAAGACTATTTTGTAGTAAATAGTGGTAAGTGTTGCACACATTTAATGTTTGTACTCTAATAAATGAGTAGTATAGTATAGTAGTATATAAAAGTAAAAGAGGGTAAGCTCACACAAGTGAAGGGCCAGATGCAAAAACCCCTTACCATTTGTCTACCATTTGTCTACGACTATAAAAATTTTTTTCTACACTTTGATTATAAATGAATAGACAAATTATATATCATTGTAAAGCTTATATAATGAAGAAAAAGTCTATTATGGGTTTTCTGATTTTATTCAATTACTTGAAAGCTAGAATTGAGTGATGTTTGCTCTAAAGAGTATAAGTCACAAGATATTTGTGGAATAACTTGATTTCTGGATTTATTCAATCAACACGTGACAGGCTCAAAAAMCGTGTTGGGCTTTAACGATTTAGRCCTTAGTTGTCRAGTTATTRTCTTAGATGTCATTCAACATTATATTTTTTGTATCAATCATCTTTGAATTGTGATATCTCTAGAACAAAAGAAAGTCTTTAATCTATTTAATCAACAAATTATTGACACGGGAATGGGGAACAATAGGAAGATTTGACTCTCAAAATAGTCTTCCCTGCTCCATCTTAAAAGGTAGCTGTGCCTTTGCATTGAAGAGAGATGACCATTGAGCGTGTAATGATAGAAACCTTCTTTCACACCTACAGACAATTATTTAGATGTATCTATCAGTACACGCTCAACAGTTGTCTCGCTTCGATGTWAACGCATGGCTACCTTTCAAGATGGCGCAKGGAACCGTGAAAGAGACTATTGCCTCTCYTAGTGTGGTATACCAGGGCTTTAGGACAATATTTAGATATTCCCAGGACAAATGCCCCACTGTTCTTAGGGGAGCTGGGTGCAGGGCTACTACTGACTATTGCATGAATATAGCTAAGAAAAGACTCCATTTTAGAKTTCAAAACAATAAACCACTGATTTATTCTCTTGTGCAAAGACCTTATCAAAGACAAAAGAAACCACCAGAAAATGTTGTTATTACAAACTGAAAATTGCTTCTTATTACTCATCCATTGTGAGCTTAAACTGGGATGAAATAATAAGTATTGTATTTTGTTGTATTGGTGAATAATGTTTTCCTACTACAAAAAAAAAAACGGTGAATGAGAAAATACTAAGCGTATAAAAAATAATAAAATAAAAGCTGAGAGGTTTAAGCTTAAAATAAACTTAAAACCT